ATATATATATAATTTAAATTATATATATTATATCTGAATGAATTAAATGTTCTGTTTAAAGGGTCATGACCCCCACTTTCGGTTCAAGTCCGCCTCAGAATTGTTTCAAAAGATGCATCATGATGGGCGTGGAGCTCCGCGAGCAAAGGGTGGCAGTGGGTGTGTCCAGCAGGGGAGAAGGAGGGGAGTGAACAACTGTTGTCAGTCGACTCACAAAATGAGACACAAACCTTGAGAAGACGCATGAGTTTATAGTTTACATAGTTAAAATTCAAAGAAATGAACTACTACACACAACCACAATTTATATCATTATAAAGATAATCGTGTTCATATAAACATTATAAATGAGGACTTCTCCCTCAATCCCCGGGTCTTAATGCAGACTCAGTGCTGCAGGTCTCTTGCCCTGCTCAACCATTAGCCCTGCTGGTCATCTAGAGGATTTAGGCGAACACAGCAGCACGGCGATGTGTCTAAATGTAAACAAACTCCTGATAAAACACAACATCTGCCATTCTCAAATTCTCGTACTGCTCTGCCGACAAAAATGCTTGCTGTATCAGCCCTGACAGCATTGCGGGAAAAACATGCAACAAACCCAGTGGATCATGGAAATAAACACATACATAGAGCCTTCATGAACAGCTAAATGCTGTGTGTTGTGGGTCTGTGTCTCACAGCTTGGCACTGGCAGGTCTGTCTTGCCTTCAGAAAGCACGCGCAGTCATAAATAATTAAGAAGCCGACTCTTCTCATAGGATAAGAAAACCCCGCTATAAAGAGAACTCTACGCATCATCTTTCCACTTGCAGGTTTGCGATACGTCAACTGATTTTGATCCGCCCCAAAAATCATTTTAGCTGAAATTAGCTGACAAAAGCTCAAGATTATCCAGTTTACCCCACAATTAAAGCTGACAGCTGCTAACGCTATCTTAACTGATGCTCAACACACAAACCTGTTAACATCTCAAAACAAGTACTCGAGGGTTTCATGAACCTTTAACAAAAAGTTCATACGTGAGTTTGTGAAGCAAGTGTGAGAAGTCTGTAGCCCATCCGCCTCAAGGTTGGACGTGTTGTATGTTCAGAGATGCTCTTCTGCAGAGCTCGGTTGTAACGAGTGCTTATTTGAGTTACTGTTGCCTTTCTATCAGCTGGAACCAGTCTGGCCATTCTCCTCTGACCTCTGGCCTCATCAACAAGGCATTTGCGCACACAGAACTGCCGCTCACTGGATATTTCCTCTGTGTCGGAGCATTCTCTGTAAACCCTAGAGATGGTTGTGCGTGAAAATCCCAGTAGATCAGCAGTTTCTGAAATACTCAGAGCAGCCCGTCTGACAGCAACAACCATGCCATGATCAAAATCTCTTAAATCCCCTTTCTTCCCCATTCTGATGCTCGCTCTGAACTGCAGCAGATGCAGTGCAGCTGCTGCCATGTGATTGGCTGATTAGACATTTGTGTTAACGAGCAGTTGGTGTACCTAATAAAGTGGCCAATGAGTGTAACAAAAAACCAAACACTTACAAAACAAATAATAAATAAAGAAGAAGATAACAAGTAAAACTCCGTATGAATAAAAGTGAGCGGCGTTTGCCGGACCGGTCCATCTGTGATAGCACCCTGCCAATGGATATTGGATAAGACTAAATGGCCGAGCACCCAGCCCCAGATATAAAAGTCAGACAGTATTTGCCCGCTGATTATAGCCGCAGTGTGCTGCAGATTATTGCGTCACTGGCGTGCGTGTGTGTGTCTTTCTCACGTTTGCGGCGGGAGTGTGTTAATGGAGGAGGATCTGCAACATGCTGCAATTAACTGTGAAAGTAATTAGTGAGTGCTTCAGTCATCAAAAGCACGTCTGAGTCAAATCCTGAAACCTGAACAATCTAACAAGCCGAGAGCAAATGAGGGCCTTTAACTCTGACTGCAGCTTTATTTCAGGAGGCCTGCAACAGCGCTGATGATGGAAGACTAAACACACTAGAGGTGGGAGACTTCACAACATCACAGCAGAGTCACACACACACATCATTATTAGACGCATCACTTCATTTTGAATGAGTGTGTGAGCGAGTGTGTGACTTTCATGGTGCATTGTGGGACTTTGTTAAGAGCGCAAAGGTTTCAGTGCACTGGGAGAGTTTTGAAGCACTGAAAATGTCTGACACCCTAATCAGTGCACTAATTAGTGAACAAATGTGCTGAATGAGACACACCCGGAGTGTATCGATGTGGCCTGATTTTCACAGTGCACTGTGGGACTTCAAGAGAACAAACGTTTCAGTGCACTGGAAGAATTTAGTGATTGAGACAACACTGAAAATTACTGATGCACACTAGCTAGTAAACAAGCGTGCTAAATGAGACACACCCAGAGTGTATCGATGTGGCCTGATTTTCACAGTGCACTGTGGGACTTTAAGAGAACAAACGTTTCAGTACACTGGAAGAATTTAGTGATTGAGACAACACTGAAAGTTACTGATGCACACTAACTAGCAAACAAGCGTGCTGAATGAGACACACCCAGGGTGTATCGATGTGGCCTGATTTTCATAGTGCACTGTGGGACTTTAAGAGAACAAATGTTTTAGTGCACTGGGAGAATTTTGGCAAAATTGCTGACGCCCTAATCAGTGCACTAAGTAGTGAACAAATGTGTGGAATGAGACAGGCCCAGAGTGTATTGATGTAGCCTGATTTTCACAGTGCATTATGGGACTTTAACAGCAAGGTTTCAGTGCACTAAAAGAATTTTGTGAATGAGACAACACTTAATATTTCTGACACCCTAAACAGTGCACTAAGTAGTGAACAAATGTGTGGAATGAGATGCACCCAGAGTATATTAATGTTTGTCTGATTTTCATAGTGCATTGTGGGACTTTGTTAAGAGCGTAAAGGTTTCAGTGCACTGGAAGAGTTTTGCGATTGAGGCAGCACTGGAAATTACTGATACCCTAATCAGCGCACTAACTAGTTAAGAAATGTGCTGAATAAGATGCACTCGGAGTGTATCGATGTGGCCTGATTTTCATAGTGCATTGTGGGACTTTGTTAAGAGCGTAAAGGTTTCAGTGCGCTGGAAGAGTTTTGCGATTGAGGCAGCACTGAAAATTACTGACACCCTAAACAGTGCACTAAGTAGTGAACAAGGGTGCTGATTGAGATGCACCCAGAGTGTGTTTGTTTGGCCTGGTTTTCACAGTGCATTGTGGGACTTTTGTTAAGAGCACAAAGGTTTCAGTGCACTGGAAGAATTTTGCGATGTCTGACACCCTTATCAGTGCACTAACTAGTAAACAAGTGTGCTGATTGAGATGCACTCGGAGTGTGGCCTTATTTTCACAGGGCATCGTGGGGAGCACAATCTTTTAAGTGCACTGGAAGATTTTTGTGATTGAGGGAGCACTGAAAACTGCTGACGCCCTAATCAGTGCACTAACTAGTGCATATAGCAAACAAATAAGGTTTATTATTTTATTCAAATATCTACAGTAGACCCATATCAGTTTACTCATTTATTGAAGTTTTCACTTTATTTGTTTTTTGTTTTATTTTTTCTAGATCATATTTTTATGCTTTTTATTGTTGCCGTTTAATTTCATTGTTTAATTAAA